AATAAATAAACAAGCCACTCCTGCCAAAATAACTGTCAGAATGAATTACCCACAATGCACCAATGACCCATATATATATAAATAGCTGAGGAAAAATACAATACTCATGGCCTGACTATTGCATCCAGTATGAAACAGCCTGTCACTTCTGAGTGTTCACTTCGATGTTCATATATATATATATATATATATATATATATATATATATATATATATATATATATTGAGAAAATGATATAAAACTTTTTACATACCAAAACAATGTCGGGTAACTTAATGACAAAGTGGAAAAAAATTTTGTGCACCATATTTTACCATCTAGGATATCGCCAGACTAGAGTAATATTTACATTGATATAACTACACATCTGCATGAAGGAGAGGGTCACTGAAATTATATACTTTCAGATATAAATTATTTTTTCTTTTTATATATTTTTATGTTTTGACTATATAGTCTAACCAATTTCAATGTGGGATACGTAATAACAAAAGGGATAAAAAGATAGACAAAAAAAAAATATCCATAAAAAAACAAAATTAAAAAAAAGAAAATTTAAATTAAAAGTTTAAAATTTCAGCAACTCCACCCCTTCTTGGCACAACAAGGAAGACCTGAGGAATTAAGGGACAAAATGCATCATGCAAAAAACTATTTCCACTTTGTCATTAATTTTCCTAACATATATGTGTGTGTGTGTGTGTGTGTGTGTGTATGTGTATATATATATATATTTATAGATAGATAGATCGATAGATATATATACACACACACACACACACACACACACACACACATATATATATATATATATATATATATACATACATATTTAGTATATAGGTGCAGCAGATCATTGTTCAAACATATATTGCTAACAGACAATGAATGTCTATTATGTTTTATCATGAGCCTTTCTATGCATCATATAATGGCTTTAGTTTCAAGTGAAAATAAAGACAAAAACTGTTCAATATTTGGATATTTCTTTATTATATTGGTTGTCTATCTAAGTTTTGACTCACATGAGCCATCATCAGAGTGGTTATATAGACATTAAAATGGAGATGTTCCCAATCAAAGATGACATCCTTTACATAGAAGTTTGCTATGCAGTTATGACGGTCCTCATCTTCATTGTCATATTCACAACATTTCGGCCATTGTATGCTCCAGTCTTCAGGTTATGCATGTAAGAATTTCAAACAGAACCCTTAATTTAGTTCATGTGAGTAGATTGTTCTAGATCCATGTGCTATGCCTTTTCTGGATATCTCAGGTCCAGTTAGTCATCTTTTTAGTAACTCAGCTCCCAAAGTTTTGTTTTCCTCTGCTGTGGCCAGGTATTGAACTCACAACTCTGGGTCAAGTCACTGGATTACTTCAACTAATGCTTTTATCCACTAGGCCATGTCTCATTATGAGTTCAATATCTTGCCAAAGCAGAGGTAAACAAAAACTTGAAGAGTTACTAAAAAGGAAATTAACTAGGCCAGAGTGTACAATGGCTGAAACATCATAAATATGGCTATAAAAATGAGGGCAACAGTTTGAACAATGTAAATAGTGTAAATAGTTATAATACTGCATCTCAGAAATATAGATAGATCCTGAAGAAGGCCAGAGTGTACAATGGATGAAGCATCATAAATATGGCTATAAAAATGAACAGTCTGAACAATGTAAATAGTGTAAATAGTTACAATACTTCATCTCAGAAATATAGATAGAAATACAATGGCTGAAACATCATAAATATGGCTATAAAAAAGGGCAACAGTTTGAACAATGTAAATAGTGTAAATAGTTATAATACCTCATCTCAGAAATATAGATAGATCCTGAAGACAATGGATGAAGCATCATAAATATGGCTATAAAAATGAACAGTCTGAACAAAGTGTAAATGGTTACAATACTTCATCTCAGAAATCATGAAGAAGGCCAAATACAATGGGAAACATCATAAATATGGCTATAAAAATGAGGGCAACAGTTTGAACAATGTAAATAGTGTAAATAGTTATAATACCGCATCTCAGAAATATAGATAGATCCTGAAGAAGGCCAGAGTGTACAATGGATGAAGCATCATAAATATGGCTATAAAAATGAGGGCAACAGTTTGAACAATGTAAATAGTGTAAATAGTTACAATACCTCATCTCAGAAATATAGATAGATCCTGAAGAAGGCCAGAGTGTACAATGGATGAAGCATCATAAATATGGCTATAAAAATGAGGGCAACAGTTTGAACAATGTAAATAGTGTAAATAGTTACAATACCTCATCTCAGAAATATAGATAGATCCTGAAGAAGGCCAGAGTGTACAATGGCTGAAACATCATAAATATGGCTATAAAAATGAGGGCAACAGTTTGAACAATGTAAATAGTGTAAATAGTTATAATACCGCATCTCAGAAATATAGATAGATCCTATACAATGGATGAAGCATCATAAATATGGCTATAAAAATGAACAGTCTGAACAATGTAAATAGTGTAAATAGTTACAATACTTCATCTCAGAAATATAGATAGATCCTGAAGAAGGCCAGAGTGTACAATGGATGAAGCATCATAAATATGGCCATAAAAATGAGGGCAACAGTTTGAACAATGTAAATAGTGTAAATAGTTACAATACCTCATCTCAAAAATATAGATAGATCCTGAAGAAGGCCAGAGTGTACAATGGATGAAGCATCATAAATATGGCTATAAAAATGAGGGCAACAGTTTGAACAATGTAAATAGTGTAAATAGTTACAATACCTCATCTCAGAAATATAGATAGATCCTGAAGAAGGCCAGAGTGTACAATGGATGAAAATAAATAGATAAAAGATCTGAACAATGTAAAAGTAAAAGGCAATACTTCATCTCAGAAATATAGATAGATACAATGGATGAAGCATCATAAATATGGCTATAAAATGAGGGCAACAGTTTGAACAATGTAAATAGTGTAAATAGTTATAATACCTCATCTCAGAAATATAGATAGATCCTGAAGAAGGCCAGAGTGTACAATGGATGAAGCATCATAAATATGGCTATAAAAATGAGGGCAACAGTTTGAACAATGTAAATAGTGTAAATAGTTATAATACCTCATCTCAGAAATATAGATAGATCCTGAATAAGGCTAGAGTGTACAATGGATGAAGCATCATAAATATGGCTATAAAATGGCTATGAAAAATGAGGGCAAATAGTTATAATACAGTTTGAACAATGTAAATAGTGTAAATAGTTATAATATGGCTATAAAAATGGGGGCAACATTTCAAGAAATATAGATAGATCCTGAAGAAGATCCTGAAGAGTGTACAATGGATGAAGCATCATAAATATGGCTATAAAAATGAGGGCAACAGTTTGAACAATGTAAATAGTGTAAATGTGAAAGAAAATAGTGTAAATAGCTATAAAATTATAAATAGTTATAACCGCATCTCAGAAATATAGATAGATCCTGAAGAAGGCCAGAGTGTACAATGGATGAATCATCATAAGTTTGAACAATGTAAATAGTGTAAATAGTTATAATATAAAATATAGATAGATCCTGAAGGGCAACAAGTTTGAACAATGGCTATAAAATAGTTTGAACAATGTAAATAGTTAAAAGTTACTTCATCTCAGAAACATAGATAGATCCTGAAGAAGGCCAGAGTGTACAATGGATGAAGCATCATAAATATGGCTATAAAAATGAGGGCAACAGTTTGAACAATGTAAATAGTGTAAATAGTTACAATACCTCATCTCAGAAATATAGACAGAGGTTTTTATCCTTTCAATAACTTTTCCTTTGATTGCCAAATTATGAAAACTTGTGGCATTTGACGTCTCTCTTCTGCTTGGGATGGGGGTGTTCATGCTGGCCAATCAAATATGCCAAAAGTTAATTCATTTATTTGGTTACAGAAAAGAAAAACTCTGACAATTCCACATCAGATGCAGAACATTAGCCAACAATTGGCATTGATTGAAAAGGGTTCATCTTAATATTAAAATTCCAGCGTACGTAATTAAAGAGCTGCCTGAGGCGTCAATGCTACAAAAGTTTTGTGTTTGTCAAAGAAACAAAAGAAATAACAGATCTGCCATTTGTTATCCTCAAACCCTTTACGCCTTTCACTCTCCCCTACCCCATGGCCAGGCATGTGGCAGGCATTGCCTGGCTTAATGCATTTCAGTAATGACACACCGAGGCTGGGTACAAATCACGCTAACTCTGATAGTGGATGGACCTGGTGAAAAATCTAATAAACTATTTAATTAATTTATCTGCTGGTGGGGAATTGGAGGTGGGGGAGGAAAAGGTTGTGTGAGAGTGAGTGATTCTTTTTTTTTTTTTAAATGTGTTTGTGAGTCTACTGAAAGACACTGTGTACATGTCAGAGTGTTGAAGTGATGAGGAGAGTGGAATTAGCAAGCCTATGTAGCCAGCTGTTTCTGAGTTACCGACAAATATGAAGCTGAAAAGGAAAGATAAACTGTGTGTGTGTGTGTGCATGCGTGCATGTGTAAAAGAGATATCAAAAGAGAAAGACTAAAGAAATTTGAGGAATGCATATTTGTATTTTGAATGTCCAGCAAATATGACGATGCTCTGTATTCATTAAAAAATTTTTGATAGAAAAAATTCATGTGTGTGTGTGTGTCATGTTGAAAATATTTACTTTGTCCATCCCAAGGACAGTGTATTTTATTTTCTAATAATCTATGCTTATATATATATATATATTTATCAATTTAAATGTTAATTTTAGTGGATACACATATTTGAGTAGGTGATCTATTTATTATTAAACTATATATATTTATTTATTTTCATCTATTAGCCTGAATGTAATAAGATTTCCCAAACATTCAGGCTGGTAGATGAAAATAAATATACTGTATATATATATATATATATATATATATATATATATACACTGATGAGCTGTGAAACAGCGAAACAGTCTGTCTGTGGATGATGTTTATATATATATATATATAGATATAGATAGATAGATAGATAGATAGATAGATAGATAGATAGTAAAGGTAATAAATCCATTGGCATATAATCCAAGTGGATCCTAGAATATTTTCGTTGGTTGAAATAAACTTATTCCCCATATGAGGTGATTTGGGATTTTATTGTGTATTAATATATATATATATATATATATATATATATATATATATAGCAAAGATAGGGCTGGTGTTAATAAAAAAAATGCTTGATGTAAGGCAACTGAGCTATTAAGTCTACATTCAAAACCTGAAGATTGCATTGTGGATGAAACTCTGAATTGTGCTATCGTTGAGGGATAATATATATATTAATATCTATATCTATCTATCTATATATATATATATATATAAAAACCAAAAATACTCAAAACAATAATAATTCTGTAGCATGTATATATAAAATAAACTGTAACAACTGCTCTTCACAATACATGGGAGAAACTTGCAGAAATTTTAAATATTTTATCTATGAACACAAAATGGATCTTATACACAACAATTTATCAAATGAATTAGTTATACATAGAAATAAATTCAACCACAACTTTGATCTAAAGTATGCTACACTTATTAAAAGAGAAGGTAATTTGCGTAGGTGGAAAATTATTGAAAGTGCCATTATTAAATCTTACCAAAATACAAAATCTGCACCTTGAATTTTTTAAATCTTTCCATTCCTGAAAGAATTACTCTTTTCCCAAGCCAACATACATGATCATAAAAATGTTAAAAAAATTAACAGAAATTCATAATATCATAATTTAAAATATATAATACAGAAATTTCTCCCATACTAAAATAATTTAAATATTAATTGCATAAAACAATTTTAAAAAATTCAACATCATTTCAATTCGCATTTAATTTTTTGTCTCTGATGCTACCTGGATTTTACTAAAAACAAAATGATTTCCATGCCTGAGGATGACTGAATGTACAGTTGAAAGTTCTTGCAGATTAAAAAAGACCTTATACAGCTTGTAGTTATTAAAAACAAGGATCATAACATTCATCGAGTGGTTCGTAGGTTAATGCAACTTTAAAATTTTGTTTGTGAAGGGATTTCGCCATTTTATATCATTAACTTTACTAATCTACTTTTTGTATGAATGATTCATTGTAATATAAATTGAACTGCACCACATATTTGATATATATATATATATATATATATATATATATATATATATATATATATTCACAAAATTATCGAACTTAAAAAATTAATTTTTAAATCTCTCCATTTCTGAAAGAATTAATCCTTTAGTATCTTCCATAATTTACCTTGACTTTTCTGTTAACTTGATTAATATTTATCAGCATCTTTTAAAATAAAAAATTTTGAAAATACTAACATTTTTACTTTTGTTTATAAATACTTGTTGCAAAATAAGATCCTTACATTTTTCTTGATAAAGTCCATCAGAGAGTGAAACATGCCTGCTAAAATATATCTCCCTTTTTTCTTTATTAGTACTGTACTTTTATAGATGTATTTTAAAGAATGCTAATGCAAAAATGTAATGATCAAATTAACAAAAGCAAAAGTGCTAACCCAAATAATTTCTGGAAAAAGGTCAATATTTTATCTCAGAGATTCACAGAATACAAAAATATTTGGGGAATAAATATTCCAAAATGTCATTATCTAAATAACAAGAATTAAGATACTTGTCCAACTAATTTCTTTGGCAAAGGACATTATTTGATATTAGAACTTTATCATGAGTCCTATAACCCAATAGAGTTTTAAAGATACTATATGTACTGCAGCTGTAGCAGCAGTGGTGTGTCTAGGGTAAAATAGCCTGAAGGAGTCCATCCCTCCAGGCTGATTTTGAATTTACAGTTTTAGATTTCATAGACTGGTTGTCACTTCAAAGCAAGAGAACTTAGTCTACCCTGCTATTTTACCTATAGTTGGAAGAAGGGTATTAGTGAACAAAACAGAACCATCTTCTGCATTCCTGAATATTTTCCTGTCCTTCTCCTCTTTAAAGTTTTCTCATTCTCATTCACTCCCTGTAAATCGCTGCATCCTAGTAACATTATTGCCTTGCTTGGGTTAAAATGATTAAGAAAAAAAAAGATGTTTAATATCACAATCAACTTTGATCGTCAAAAATTTAAAAGCAATGTCAATTGTTCATTATTTACATTATTTACTGTCCCATGTGTCCTCAAGGACAACGCCTTTATCCACTGTGCCAGTGGATAAAGGCGTTGGTTAGATCCACTGATAGGACCCAAAGAGTGTGAGTTCAATACCCGGTTAAGGCAGTGCAGAACTTTCAGAGGGAAATTAACTGGGGATAACAGATAACTGACATCCATCAAACATGGCACATGGAACTAGAACAGTCTACCCCAGTGAGCGAAATAAAGGGTTCAGTTTGACATTCCAACCACCTGAAGAAGGCCAAAGTGTACAACGGCTGAAACATTGTAATAAATATGACAAAGATGAGGACAATAGTCTGAATAATGTAAATAATGTACATAATACTTCATCTCAGAAATATAGACAGATAATGTCAATTGTTATCTTCTGTTTCCTTAATTCCTGTTCTTTTATTGTCCTTGCTCATTAATAATGTTTTTCTGATATTCTTTTTCTTTAACACTCAATAACCCCATGTATCTTAGTGGCTTTATTGCCTCGATTAGGGTAAAATGATTAAAAAAAAGTAAAAAAGAAGACTTTTAATCCAATGCTTATTTCATTTACACATCTAATGAGCATTGAAAAATGTTGAAATATTATAACAAATGCCATTACAATTGGTTACTGTTTTCTATTAGAACAGCATAATGTCAATGACTATAGATAAAATTTTATTCATAAACTAAAAAAGAATGGCTAAGACTTAATAACCAATGAAAAGAATCTACATAACTTCATATGTTTTGAAATGCATTAACATGCATATGTGAATGTGATCAAGCAAAGGAAAGAATCTATATGTGTGTGTGTGTGTATGCATGTTTGTATGAATCTTTCAGATTTGAGTTGCTGTGAGCTTGTATGTGTTAGTAAGAGACCACGAAGGAAAACTTTGAAAGCAACTTTGTAATTTAATTAAAAAGGGCAAGAGAAAATTTTAGAGTGTGTGAAAATGGTGAGAAGAATTCAAATTACAAGTAACTCAATTCTTTCGCACTTGAGGGGAACAAACACTTATTTTTTAAATTCTTTTAATTTCTTGTTCTTGTACTTCTTTTTCATTACAATTATCGGCATTTACAGGGATATTCAAAATCTAAGGACTTTCTTGAAACTATCTATGCCTTCACTCAAAACAAAAGTACGAGCTTTATTGAGAATGTATGAGCCTTTCTCAAATCATATGTATCTGGATTCAAAAATCTAAGCAAAAACCCAAAACCTGTGTGAGTGTGTGTGTGTGTACACTGTCTACTGTCCTCCTGATTACTCTTTTCTATTTCTGCTCATCATTAATGTTTCTGTTCCTAATTCCTCCACACTCTGTAACCACTTGCATTTTAGTAGCTGTACTGCTTTGCCAATTAAAAAAAAAAGTATGTCTCTGTGTGTGATAAAATAACTGGGAGTAATCTCCCTTGTTTTATGATTATCTCCCTTTGGAGAATTCTTTTCTTTGTAGAGGACTATAAATAGTCACTATGCTGGCATCAATTATTCTAAGAGGAATAAAGCTTCCTTGAGCCTACTCTTGCTCTCTTTTGTTATTACAGTATATATATATTTATGTATATATATAGAAACAAATAAAAAAAATAAAAATTCAGTAACAACATTTACCTACTTAGGTTTATTAGGCATTAAATTACATCACTTAGAGTCTGCCATAGTTTACTTTTATATACAGTTTTAAGAATATTTTAGAGTGGTCTTAAATTTTAAAATTTTGTTAACATTTAATATTTTTTCCACTTTACTACTATTTATAAGTATATTTAATTTAATCAATTAGCCCCAAATAAGGCAATAATGCCACGAAGATATAAGAGGCTACTGGGAGTGGAAGAGGATAAAAAGACTTTAGAAGGAACCAGAAACCCAATCCTAAACTGGAAACAAGGGATAAACCTTTACTTTCGTTCAAAAGACCAGTGAAGCGTGTGAACCAGATGACAGGCAAAATTATCTGCTATTGAGGAAAAAAAATAAATGGCAAATAAAATTTCAGAGATTAGGCAGAGACACTAGAAGTATGGAGTTGATTTAAACTTTAGAAGGAACTGGAAACTCAATCCTAAACAGCAAACAAAAGACCAGGGAAGAGTGTGCCTTACAAAATAATCCACAGAACAATAGCCTATTGGTTTGTGAAATTGGTGATATAGTGATTGTAAGTTCAATCCCTGGGCTGGGCAGTGTGCACTTGGACTAAGTGGAAACAGTGAGCAATAACTAAAAACTAAATGAAATATCCCTAGACATGGGCAGTGAAACAAGAACAGTCTACCTCTGTATATTAATAATGATTTCAGTTTGGAATTTCTTATAGGTTACTTGGATTGACATACAGGGTGTTTCACAATTTTTGAAACAAAATGATCAGGTACAAATCAAAGACCACAAATTATAGAGTAATAGAAATTACATTTATTGAAAGGAAAATGGATAACATTTTAGGATCTGCAACCATTTAGTCTCAAACATGAACCAAAAATGTCAAGAGAAGCCCAAAAGTACATGCTTCAGATATCTGCCATTCTGTTGAAGGCACTGTTGAATGCAAAGTTGTTGATAACACATGCACATTCCTTCTGGATGATCACTTGAATCTTCTCAGTGATGGCTGCCTTCAATGCAGCAATGGTGTGAGGGTTTCCCTGGTAGATGTTGTCCTTGAGTAACCCTCAGCGGAAGAAATCTGGGGGGTTCAGGTCAGGCAAGTGAGGTGCCCATTCCACTTCAGCTTTGAAGCTGATGAGACGACCCCCCTCACCAAATTTTTTATGGAGCCATGCCATGTTAACATTAGAAGTATGAGGAGGAACACCATCCTACTGGAACCACTGTTTCTTCTCATCAAGGTCCTCAAGCTCTCCCCATCTGAGAGGGTGTACTTTGTTTCAATACAAACTCACTGCACACCCGATAAAGGCTGAAGGGCACAACAGACGAAACATTGTGATAACAACAACAAAGATAAGGATATTAGTCTGCATGTAAATACTGTAGATAATGATAACTCCTCATACCAGTAATTCAAAAAGACATTTCTTCATGGATGAACAGAAAGCTTTAGGCAACAGATATGTCATTCTCTTTTAAGGAAAATATGGAAAGAAAAAGGATGCTTGTATCAGAAGGAGACAGTTGAAATTTCTAGGATAAGAAAGAGAGCTTGAAGAAGGACATATTGAAGCAAAAGAATCAGAAGAAAATAATGAGTAACCTACCTAATAAGCTTGTGTAAAACAGCACACTGCATCTTCTTGGCTTCTTGGCCACTATATTGATTCAAACTACTGCAAGGATTGTGTTGTGCCAGAAAATTTTACTCATCACATTGCACATCTACAAATCCACCATTCATCTATGCATTGAATACTGTTACCATATCTGGTTTGGTGTTCCAACTGTATATGTGTGATTCTAGACAAAATCCAAAGAAGGATTTGTAATGTAATCATCCTGACCAAGCATTTTGACTTCAGTCACTTTCTCACCGACATGACCTGGCTTCCCTCTGTCTTTTCTACAAATATTTTCATGGCAATAGTTTTTATCCCTGATACCCTGCATACATGAATTTAAGTGTGCTACTAGATTAGCATCTAGGTCCCACCCTTTTACTGTTTTATTCCTTGTAACTCCCTGCATACTAGTGGCATTACCACATTGCTTGGGGTGAAATTATTAAAAAAGAAAATGGATGCCAGATTAGGGAGTGATGGTGAAAAGACAAACTTTAAAAAAAGCTGCAAAGAGTAAGAAGTTGTGGAGAGCTGTGATCACTCTTGTCCTGAAGTGACATGGAAGAAGAAAGAAGGACTGTCAAAAATTATAATACTTTTGAAGCACACTAATATGTAATAATAATAAAATGAAATAATCATGAAAAAAACCTTGGGATAAGAGCCTGTAAAAAATGAAAATATTTTTGATACCCCTAATAATAAGATAGATAGATAGATAGATAATGACCAAGCTAAGATAGATATATAGATATTGACCAAACAAGATAGATAGATAGATAGATAGATAGATAGATAGATAGATAGATAGATATTGACCAAACAAGATAGATAGATAATGACTAAGTTATGATCTTGTGGGATTTCAACATCCAAATAAACTACATCCTTGATGGCCACAAACCAGGCATGACCATCAATGAAAAAGAAAAAAATATCCAGATATTATGGTCACCAGGGATACCCTCATCAATATGACTGTCCACTGACAAGCTTATAAAGTAAGTTTTCCAAAATGTGGGACAATCAGGCCACTGTTATCCCAGTTACCACTGACATGTTGGGGTATATATCACTGAACATAAAGTCTTATCTGTCTATATCTCTGAAATGAGGTATTATGATTAAAAGCGATGGTTAGATCCAGTTACTAGACCCAAAAAGTTGTGAGTTCAGTACCAGGCTACAGCAGTGGTGGAGCAAAAAAACTTGGAGAGTTTAGTTAAAGCAAAATAACTGAGATATGTGGAAGAGACATGGCACGTGGAACTAGAACAATCTACTTCGATAGATGAAATAAAGGGTTTGAAATTCTTATCACCCGAAGAAGGCTGAAGCATACAATGGCCGAAATGTTGTGAATATGTCAATGAAGATGAGGATAACAGTTCAAATAATTTAAATAATCATAATATCTCAGACAGATACTGAATATGGCAATGAAGATGAGGATAACAGTCTGAATAATGTAAATAATAAAGACTTATATTAAGAAAATTGAAATAAAACTTAGTATCCCATTGCTTCAAAAGTCTGCATTGCTTGGCAGTATCAATATTTTACAAAATGACTTGATGGAGAACATACATAACACAGGATCTCTGATTGAAAACAAAAATCCAGGTGGAAGAAAATAATAATAATGCTTGAATCATAATTTTTAGATGTGTACATGTAATAAGCCTTAGAGTAAAGGGCAGTAAAAAAAAACAAAAAAAAAACGAAAATACTTTTGATACATCCTAATATATAATGATCTCTCATCTTTAGAACTGTTAGACTCCACTGGGGTGTACAGGGCCACAGCCTCACCACACTCTGTGTTGCTGATGTGGTTTCCATTGCAAATAACTTTTTATGGGGTGGTGTTGCCAGCACCAGACCAACTGGTTTTCAATTCAGAACTGTACCTCTCTTCAACTGGTTGCCAACCAAGTCTACAGAACCCAGTCTGCCCTACTATTTAAATCATAGCTGTTGGGAGATGAGACAGAATAATACTGTTCAAGGGCATTTATGCAAAATTAAATGCAATGAAAGACAGAATTTGAACTTAGCAAGTCAATTCTGCTTTCGACACCAATAATGATATTAATAACAGAAAATATGAATAGATAGGTTTGCCTTGTTCCCACTCCTTCCACATCTTTTGAACAGGAGTAGAGGTTTATTCCCTGTTTCCATATCAGGATTGGGTTTCCAGTTCTTTTTACTAAAGTTTTCTCATTTTCTTTCACTCTCAGTAAAATCTTGCATCTTAGTGGCATTAGTGCCTTGCTTGGGGTGAAATGATTTTTTAAAAAATTGTGGATTCATTGATCTTTCGATGTGTACATGAAATGAGCTTTGGGGTAAAAGGCTACAAGACATGAAAATGCATTTTATACACCTTAGTAAGAATTCCCAAATAAATATTTTTCTGTCTAATATAAATGGAAGAGAGCTCAGGGAGAATAGAATTCATGCCTTTCCCAAGAGCATTAACTGAAAGTAATATAAATAGTCTAATGCAGGAGAGGAGACATGGTGGAGTAATGGATAATGGCTCAGATTGAGGAATCGGAGAGCCGAGTTCAAATTCCAGTCAAATCCATTACATTCGCTTACGTGCTAATACCCTTGGGAAAGGTATGAATCCTTTTCTTCTCCCTCCACACCCCAGCTATGGATAAATAGCAGAAAAGGCTGAGTTCTATAGCATTGGATGGCAACTGGTCTATCGCAGAAAGAAATGGCAACCTTTTGCGGGAGAAAATCTGCCTCATTGGTCATGTATCGAAAGATACATGGTCACCTAAGCATGTATCACACAAGGCACATAACTGACTGAATGCAGAAGAATTTGGATCACTTACACCATTCACAGAGCTGCCACTTCTGGTCTGTTTCAAACGAAAGAATATTAAATCATTTGTCTCAGAGAAACTTGGTATTTCCCAGGTAGATCAGGGACAAGAATCTGGATTTCTTCAAGGATATTTCTGCGAGGGTTTCTGACAAGAACTCCCTGAGTTGATTGTAAGAGGAATAATCTGTGAACTTATGATGCAAGATGTGAGGCTATTGAGAGAAGAACAGCTGTAACAACCAGGAACAATGGATGTAAGCAAGGTTGAGCCCAATACACGGAACATTTCAAGAAGAAATCTTGTTTGCATTCTTCCAAACATGTTTATTCCCTGGAAGGAGGTGAGATCCTGGAGCAGAATTTGGAGAGGGTAAATGGAGAAATCAAAAGAAAATGATAGTAAATAACAATAAAGATTACGAAAAATGGCAAGAGAAGAAAAAGGAAAGAAAGAAAAAAGTTGTATGGGAAGAAAAAAAACTGAACAAAACACATTCAGAAAGAGAAAATGAAAAAAATGAAAAAGAGAATAAAGAAAAAAGTAAAAGAATAGAAAAAAAAAGGAAAAAAAAAGGAGGGAAAATAAAGTGGAATAGAAAAGAGTAAAATGAAAGATAAAAGATTAGGGAAAAGAAAGAAATTTTAAATGAATGATGAAAAAGAAAATGTTGGGGAAATAATGTAAAGACATTTGAATGAAAAATAAAGAAAAAGGAAAAAGAAAAGTAAAAATGAGAAGCAGAAAGTGAAAAAAAAATGAGAATGAAAAGAAAGAAAAAAGATGAAGGAAAAAAATTTAAAAATGAATAACTGCAGAAAAAAATTTGGAAAAATAATGTTAATGTACTGGAATGAAAAAAATTTAAAAATAAAAATATGAATGAGCAAGGAATAATTTTGTTTAAATTTAAAATAAGGAAAATATATATGAAAAGAAGACCAGATGGAGAAAGAAATAGAGTCTGAAAACTGATTAAAGCAGAAAAAATAAAATTGGAAAGTATAGAAAAAAGAAAACAAAGAATTAAAAGAAGCTTCATGAAAAAGAAGAAAAGAAAAAAAAGAATGAAAAGAAAGAACAAAAAAATGTTGGGGGTTATAAAATAATAAAAATAAAATCTAGAAATGTCAGAGGAAAAAAAAAAAGGATAGCTAGAAAGAAAGAAAGGAAAAACTACAAAAACTTTTGAGTCTATAAAAGAATTAAAAGAAATAAAAAAATCTAGCAATGAAAGAGAAAAAGAAAAAAAAACAAACAAAAAATTTTTGGGTTTATAACGGGATTAAAAAAATAAATATCCAGAAACGAAAGCAAAAAAAGAAAAAAGGAATAACAAGAAAGAAAGAAAGAATGGAGGATAGAAAGAATGAAGAAAGTAAGAAAAATGAAATTTTTAGTAAGAAACACTTCAAATTTCAAATATTTTCTTTCTTTTCATTGCCATTTTTTTTATTCCACTTTCTTTTTCTCATTTTTACTTTTCTTTTTCCTTTATTTTTCATTCAAATCTTTTTACATTATTTCCCCAACGTTTTCTTTTTCATCAATTTTTTCTTTTTCTTTTTTGCTGCTTATGTTTTTTAATCTTTCACAGATCTATTTTGAGTTGTAGTGTTCATTATTGTCAAAGAAATAATTGTTGTCTACATCTGAAAGTTAAATTTCTTACTTGTGGAGTGAAGAACACTGAGTTAGTGCATGATTGCTGACACTGTTTAAAGGGAGGTAACTAAGTATGGTTGTGGAGAGTTTTTTATGAAATAAGTAGTAATGAACACTACAATATTTGTCTTGCAGTAAACAATACCCTGATGATGACATTGTGCTATGCCGAAAGTAATCAGAATAAAAGAAATATGTATCAACATGGCAATTTTCTCTCATCCTTCAATAATGACACCAAAAAGCTTATCCGTGAATATGAAAGGATCCAATTGAAAATAAGTAGATAGAACTTGTCTAATTTATTCAACGAAACATGTCTTAATGAAAACATGCTACCAAAATACACACACACACACACACACACACACACACACACATATATATATATGTCTGTGTGTGTGTAGACTACAACTGTTTTCTTCTTTGTAGCCTGAGGTCTTCATATGTTTATCTGAATAGAATTACTTGTAACCAATAATGTCAGGGGATGGCACTTAATTCTCACATCAAAAGACACGTATTGCTCATGGGAAAGAAGCATATAAGATTAGTGTCTATGCAATAAAAATGAATAATGGCTTCTTTTCATTGAGTCTCTTATGATGTGAATGCATCATCAAGGTGAATATTTCCAGCTGGAACCAATGACCATTCCTAGAGATTTGCCAGGTATGATGTTTTATTTTCTCTTTTTATTGTGCATTTACAAGAAATTATTTTTTAATTTTCTTTTTGTCCATTTTTCAGGATTGATGATGTGAAAATCAAATATGGATGTCATTTAATGTAAGTATCTCAAAATGAGAAAAAAGGTTATTTTTTTTGAAAAAGAACTGGGAACGCAACTGAAATGAATGCTGTTTTCTATACAAATGGTTTAAATAAAAAACCCAGGATTTCACTGGTACATAAGGAAAAGTTAATTTCAATCAATTTATTTTACACCTGTAAGTGTTAATCAGGTATAGGATTTTAATATTGAACACACACACACATATATGTATATGTATATTAGGTATGTGTTATCAGTAATTATTCAGGGTAGGCAGCTTGTGAAGTTTATGTAGTAAATGTACAAAAAAATGAAATATTTTGCAGTTTATGCATAATAATCAGAGTAACCTTCATAATTTTGTTGGATTAGGTGCATATTGTGTCACAGAAGGAAAATTTGGCTTCTGATCTATTTTATACAGAGTAGATACTGCCTACATTGTCTACCTAGATGGAACATCCCTGATATATATATATTTTAAGACATTTTTTATGTTTATACATTTTTTTTATAGATAAAAATATTTAAGTAAATGCTCTGCTTATAATAAACAGTATTAACAACATTTACTGGCCTGAATGTCCGAGAAATTTTCATAGAACATATGCATCCTCCGACAGGAATCGAACCTGTATCCTATACGGAACCGTCATATAGCCTGATGTGCCTTTACCGATTGGGACACAGAGGAGTGTTCGGTTAGCAAGGTCAATTTCACTGTATTTAAACATAATTTTCCATGATTTTCTCTCATACATTCATATCTGCTCAAAGCGTATCCAAATGTAAACAGATGACATCACATATTATGAAATGGAAAAAGTCTGACAATTATTTTTTAAGACATTTTTTATGTTTATACGTTCTTTTTATAGATAGAAATATTTAAGTAAATGCTCTGTTTTTTATAAAAAGAACGTATAAACATAAAAAATGTCTTAAAAAAATAATTGTCAGACTTTGTCCATTTCATAATGTCTGACGTTCGGTTATATATATATATATATAAATGGATAATGGCCAGATTGGAGAGCCAAGTTCGAATTCCAATCAAGTTTGTTTAAGTCACTTATGCACAATTATCCTTGGGAAAGGTATGAATCCATCTCTTCTCCATCCAGCTATGGGTAAATAGCAGAGCAGACTGGGTCTTATAGCCTTGGTTGGTAATCAGTTTAGGAGAAGGCTAACTTTGAATTCAAAACCTGAGATGGGTCATTTGGAAACAAAAAGAGGAAGAGGATGAGTAACATATCTAATGAACTTGTGTATAGCGATGGCCGAACAGTGAGTGATGAAAAGGCAAATATTGTTAAAGATAAGAAGTTGTGGAGAGCCAACATCACCCACTCCCTGAAGGTATGTGTCCCATGGAGGATGATGATGACTACTATTAAAAACTTTATGTTGTTCTGCATTTTCTTGTTTATTTTCAAGACTTTGTAAATATTAAACTAAAAGTAAACTTAAGATAACAATTCATCCTCTACATTGTCCCTATCCTAAAAATGAATGGTTTAACAGATTATCTTTTTATGTCTATAAATCACTGAAATTCATTTGTCTTGTCAGAAATCTGATGGATTGCAACTCACCCTTCAGTAAACAGCATAGTGTGTTTCTTCCCTAAGGGTATCAGCCACTGGTCGGCTCAGAGAATTTGCATACGTTGTGACATCTGTGTACATAGATCTCAAAAAAACTGTGGGCTTGATTTGCACAATGACAATAAACCAGCACACATGCTATACAAGACTGATTTTCTCATTGGAGTGAGTTTGCAAGTCTTGCCAGGATATAAATATTTAATCTTTCTTTCTTTATTTATTTATTTATTAATCATTTAATAATATTACATTTTTTTTATATCATTTACTTTTTCCTTTCTTTCTCAAACATTTAATGTTTCTTTCTTTCCCAATAATTTAATCTTTCTTCTTTCTTACTCTGTCATTGAATATTTCCTTTTCCTTTCTTTCCCAATCATTTAATCTTTCTTCTTTCTTACTCTGTCATTGAATATTTCCTTTTCCTTTCTTTCCCAATCATTTAATCTTTCTTCTTTCTTACTCTGTCATTAAATATTTCCTTTTTTTCCTTTCTTTCCCAATAATTTAATCTTTCTTCTTTCTTACTCTGTCATTGAATATTTCCTTTTCCTTTCTTTCCCAATCATTTAATTGTCATTGAATATTTCCTTTTCCTTTCTTTCTCAATCATTTAATCTTTCTTCTTTCTTACTCTGTCATTAAATATTTCCTTTTCCTTTCTTTCCCAATCATTTAATCTTTCTTCTTTCTTCTGTCATTGAATATTTCCTTTTCTTTCTTTCCCAATCATTTAATCTTTTCTTCTTTTTTTCTGTCTTTCCTTTTCCTTTCTTTCCCAATCATTTAATCTTTCTTCTTTCTTACTCTGTCATTGAATATTTCCTTTTCCTTTCTTTCCCAATCATTTAATCTTTCTTCTTTCTTACTCTGTCATTGAATATTTCCTTTTCCTTTCTTTCTCAATCATTTAATCTTTCTTCTTTCTTACTCTGTCATTAAATATTTCCTTTTCCTTTCTTTCCCAATCATTTAATCTTTCTTCTTTCTTACTCTGTCATTGAATATTTCCTTTTCTTTCTTTCCCAACCATTTAATCTTTCTTCTTTCCTCTGTCATTGAATATTTCCTTTTCCTTTCTTTCCCAATCATTTAATCTTTCTTCTTTCTTACTCTGTCATTGAATATTTCCTTTTCCTTTCTTTCCCAACCATTTAATCTTTCTTCTTTCTTACTCTGTCATTGAATATTTCCTTTTCCTTTCTTTCCCAATCATTTAATCTTTCTTCATCATTTAATGTTTCTTTCCTTTTTCATCATTTAACCTTTCTTTTATTTTCAATAATCTAATTTTTCTTTCTTTCTCTATTTCTATCTTTTCAAATCATTTAATCTTTCTCAAAAAATAATCTTTTCTTTCTTTCTCAAATGATTTAATATTTCTTTTTTAATAATTTTTCTGTATTTTTCCTTTGAAATCATTAATCTTTCTCCCTTTCTTTCTAATTCATATAATCTTTATTTCTCTTTTTCTTTCTTAACCATATATTACATTCTCTCTTTCTTTCTTAACTATGTAATCTTTCTCTATCTTTTTCTTTCTTAATCATGTAATCTTTCTCTATCTTTTTCTTTCTTAATCATGTAATCTTTCTTTCTCCCTTTCTTTCTTAACCCTATATTACTTTCTCCCTTAACGATATAATCTTTCTTTCTCTCTTTCTTTTTTAATCATATAGTTTTTCTTTCTCAATCAATTATCTTGAGCAAATGTGAATTCAGATAATCATCAACTGTTTTCTTGAAAACTTATAATCTTCCTTTCTCTCTTTCTTAACCATATATTACTTTCTCCCTTTTTTCTTAACCATATAATCTTTCTTTCTTTCTTTCTTTCTTAATCATATAATCTTTCTTTCTCAATCAATTATCTTGAGCAAATGTGAATTCAGATAATCATCAATTGTTTTCTTGAAAACTTATGCAAATGGATATGGACACAATAATAAAAAAGACATTATTTAAAAAAAAACTTAATAATGTGTGAGTTTAGAGGTGTCAGCCAAGTGATTATCATGCAAGCCACTATGAGAAAGATGTCCATCTTTTGCACTTTGGCAGCAACTTTGTTCATTAAATGAAAATGCATTTACATTTCATGGTCGTGTTATGTTCTGCTATAGCAACAGTTAACAAAATCTTATTTGAAATAAAAAATGAGCTGACTACAGTTGGGAAGTTGCCATATTCAATGTAATAGGAAATAGTACAATGGAATAATGCAAAATGCTTCACCAGTTGCTCAGGAAATATGGCTCTCTGTCAAACCTGACATAATCTAATGATAATGTGATATCTAATGATATCACAGGTACATATAAAATCCTAGAAATGGTGTCAACTCAAATTGGTATTATGA